TTATTTTGTTTAATTTGCATTTTTTTTTCTCTGGGTTATGCATACGTAAGAGTACATTAGGCTGGGTCGGTCGCCATACAAATGAAAACGAGCTTTTTAATTACCCGCTCTAGTTTGACAATTTAGTTTGAGAGATTTTTTGGCATCATACAAATTTTTATCCTCTGCGTGTTTTTTTTTATTGTATTTATACGCGGATATGTAAACAAAGCAAAACAGGCGCTAATTTGGCACAACCATGCTCGTAAGGAGACGCATAGCTTCTATCGCTATCACCTGTAATTGATACGCTTTGGCGCAAACGCGGCTGCTTTTAGTGCCTGTTAAGGATACAAGTTTGTATGGACGGCGTAAGCTCTCAAAATAATTTTTCAATCTTAAAGACGGTTATAAAAACTTTTTTCAGCTACCCGGTCTAATGTATGCAAATGTGTATACTATACCCCAATGGTACATTATAAAAAAAGGGTGGCGGTTTTTCCAACGGAATATAAAAATTTATTATACATACATTAAGATTTCCGCCAAAATATTTCGGAAATTATCGATATTTTTTTAAATAAAGTTAGTTTTATGCTTGAACTCTTTTGTCATCTGAGGTGATTGTCAAATCGGACCAACTCACATAATTCTTGATATTTTTCCCAACAGCTTTAGCGGAAATATTGTGTGGCACACTACTATGATTCGGACTGCGCCGAAGTCACTCATCGCTTCATCGTCTAAGCTGAATTTTTCGACAATGGCACCAAAGATTCCTTGTCCTTGACAAATGATTGCCACACCCTGGTGAATGGCAGTAAAAAAAGTTTTCCTCACTTCCGTGGACTCTTGTGCACGGAACCATCCCCGAGGTAGTCCCATACTAATTTGGTTTAGGTCCGATCATTGGATCGTGAAGAAATTAATGGTACTCTTAAATTTTTATATAAGAATTGAAGTCGGTTTTATTTGCTAAAAATTACTTGTTATTAGAGCCTGATCTTCTGCAAAAAAATCAAGCTGCTAACGAAGAATATCGAAGGATAAGTAAAAATATTGCGATTGGTCAAATCAAAATGCGTAATGATTTTTTTTTTTTGATAAAATATAAGCATTTGACTCACACGCTATGTACGAGTACGGCCATTTGTACTCATACACCATGTACATATGTACATTCAATGGCGATTCTCTACATGGCGTATGAGTAACATATTCCATGTTAAAGATGAAACTATTTTCATTCGGAATGCAATCTTAAAATGAAAATGTCTTGAGAAAATTACCTGTTGTATAAAATTATAAAAGTTTTGGTAAGACTAAGCAGGCAAAAATCTATTTTATGTTAAAAACTTTGGTTAAAATAATAAATTTATGTTCTAAAATAATAGATGCTATGAGATCTTAAAATCCAAAAAGCAAGACATGGTTCTTAAGTCAAACCTCGGTTTTGACATTCGCAAAAATTATGCCCATTTTTATTATTTTTAAAAGAAATTCGCTTTTTTTGTGAAGAAAAATGTCCATTGTGAAAGATTGTAATTTAAGGTACCCGTTCTGTAGAAAGATCCTTACTAATATAAATATTATAAGTCCGAAGGTGAGATTGTTTATTTGTTACGCTTTACGAATTTGGCAATTTAAATGCATATGCCCGTATCACAATATTAGTGTGAGACGAAAGAAGTTTAAAAAGGTTGTCAACTGTTCAGAAAGTTAAATTCAAACTATTCAATAATTTCAATGAAGTATTACAATAGGGGTATCAATCGAAATGGTTTTGAAAATGCTTCATTCCTAAAGTGCATGTAAGCGGGTCCTCCGCTTTTTTCTATTTATATTTGAATTCAGGGAATGCGTTAATTAGAAAAGTATCACAAGAGAGAGCTTTAAGTAAGTTTTAGTTTGAAAATATTTTGAAGATGGTTAAAATAATTTAAAATCTCCTGTTTTTGACATAGTTTAAGTATGTTGAGATTTATTGAAATTACACCAAATTTCATACACTCAGCGAACAGGGTGATGGCGATCTAGTTTTTTTTTATAAAAATGAAATGCTTGAAAAGCTTCAACTGTTTACTAATTTCGGTGCATACTTTATGGCTGTGGTCATTTTGAAAAAAAGAAAATGCTATTTCCACCAGCTATTTGTATATATCGAGCCCTAACCGCCAAAATAACGTAAGCGAAATTTTTTTCAAAATTTTATTTTTCACGCAGAAATATTCCTAGGGCATGTAGATGTATTTTTGCATAAAAAAAAAAAAAAATAAAAAAAAAATGGCGCTTACGTTATTTTGGCGGTTAGGGCTCGATATGCTCTACGTAGCAATTTGTGTCAGAAAGTAAATTGAATTTCAACCACAACAGCGTTCAAAATTTGAACAAAAGACACCAATATGCCAATCAATCAAGAAATTAAATCGAACCGGACGATCGAACAATGAAAGTACACACCCCCCGACAAAACATGTTTACATTATACCACACGTATCCCTCGTACATATTTGTATGTATGCTTGTAAATATGTATGTACTAGTTAACAATTTAATAGTATAAATTGTATTTGATTCACCTACATGGCTACTTGTCCTACTTATTGTCAACAACTTGCTGGTAAGAAATGTAATTTCCAAGTCAATTTACGATTCTACGTTATTTATGTATGTATGTCAATTGCTTATTGCTTGTACCAACAATCAAAATAACGAATTATATCAACTCCCTTTTATTTGTGGGAAAATACATTTTAACTTTGACTTGATGAAGAAACATACATAAGTATGTACGTATGTACCTACATGCATACATCTAGTTATAAAAAAAAAACGCTTTTGTCATCAGCGGGTAAGTGGAAAACTTTTCTGGCACGACAATTTCCAATCGTTCACGCGACTTACAAGGGTCATCACCCATACATATGTCGTAAAAGTTGACAGCCAAACCAAAGTTACGACCACTTGGAGTAGCAATTTGGAGCTTAACTACATGTATCTATGACATATGAATTTATTCATACGAGTATTAGGGTCTGCCACCAAAAAAGAAAAATTTCGAGCGATGGAGTGTCCTTTCCTAATTTTTTATGCGATTTCAAAAATCAATCAATCGCACAAGCATTACTTAAGATAAATATAAAGTTTTAGTTGTGGAGGGCTTTAAAAAAATGTGCCCTAATTTATATGCTTAAATTTGTAAACTCTGTACCCTGCTGGTATATGGTCTAAGTTATTTACTAAATTGCCGCCAAGAAGCATCTTAATGCTAAGAGAGGGTGCATTCGAAAACGTCAAAATAGAAAGCATTAGTCTCTTTCATTTCCAAACCGCACTAGAAGAAAAGGTGTAAATTGCGCAACCTAGTAGAAAACTGGCATCTAATCGTGGTTGCGGAAATAAGTCAACTTTCACGTTCCATCAATTTAAAAATACTATTAGTAATTACTAAAGGTTTCCAATTAGTGAACGAAGTAACCGAAAAAAATAAATTATGTGGCTATTTATCCCTAAAGAAATAATCTAGGTCATTTAGATATGTCAGTTATTATTTGACACGCTGTATATAAAAATATATAAGTATATATATAGTGCCAACAAATCAACAACTTGTCTACACATGTCGGTTTCGGTGTCAGCTGCTCCACTCTAAATCAACGTTCCAGTTTTCATCGAATCCAGCCATAAAGTTTGCGCTTTTGCTTCAAGTACTAAGTAGAACGGTTAAGAAAATTGGAACAAAATTACAAGGAGAGTAAATATATGATTAGATACTCGTACTTTGTGAAGCCATTAAGTACTTTTATGCCCATATTGTAGGTACATACATATACATACATACATATGTATATCAAGATATTTACATACTCAGGGTTTCATTCACTCATTATTGTGCATGTAAATCACAAGTTCCGATGGAAGAAATGTTTTATATAGAAACATTTGTACATACACATGTATGTAGGTATGCATATATATATAAATTTTAAATTTATTACGAATTTGTATGAATATGTATTTTATTTTACTCCATTCGCTAGTGAAAAAGTTTCAAAATCCGAATCAACTTGAAATGTGTTGACACTATTAAAAAGTATATCGATAAATTCATAAAAGTATATTGAAAAAAAAAATATATATATAGAGTTGTCGTCGGGTATATATATTTATAGCGAAAAATATGCTGAGAACAAATCTTGCACATACGGTGGTGAGAACGTAAATAGGAAGGAGACATTTCAGCAAGTTTTGGCCATTATTGGCTTATTATTTTTTTATGAAAATATGGCTTACTATCTAACAAAAACAATGTACATAAATCTAAATTTCAAATTTTGTAGAACATTTACAAAAGTTCGACGTATTTTAATAAATGTTGATCAAAATTTTAAACTTCTTAATCAGATTTTTTAGAATTTTTGTTTGAGTATACAGTTTTAAAGTCCAATAAATTTTAAGTACATAGTCAAGTTTGATGTAGCTAGGATTTACCGCTGGTTTTTGGCAGTTTTTTTTCGTGCTTTTTCTTCCATACAACAAAAAAAAAATCGGAAATACTTTGTATGGAAAAAATGCGAAACCCCTTCAACAAAAAATTCTCAAAAATCAACGCGATTATTAAGCTACTTTAAACTTGCGTTTTTTATACTAGAGTTCAGTTTCTAAAAAGTCGGTTTGAAAAGTTGAAAATTTACCTGAAAATTAACTGAATTTTTCGGAGTTTTACACGAAGTTTTGAAATAATATTTTTATGTTTTTTTTTTGCAGTATGAACCAAATTTTTATAAAAAATTCACTAAACCAATACTTTTTGCCGTGAGTGTGCATAGTTATATTAAAAATTAAGAAAATAAATTAAAGCGAAAATCTTTCAAATTGAGAGCTTGCTACTTGAAAAATAAAAATGATTAAATATTTTTGATATCTATTAGTAATAATTTTATAATGTTTATAAAATTTATGGCCAATTTCTTATGTAAAAATTCATAAGTAATTTATGTTTTTTTTACTTCCAGGATTATGTGGAAAAATTAGATGGAATTGGTTTATGTGTGGTAAACTTAATGGATGACATGCACGAATATATGCGCGGACTATTTCTGTTAATGTGAGTATGATTTAAGTACTTTATAAATTTATGGTCAAACGAGTGCTCAACATCTCCTTTAGCTTGGATTCACTTACGAACACATATCGTCATAAATTCAAAATTTTTTCTACACCATTACGAGTTTATGATAGTCATTCACAAAAATTAAGTACAAAATAATTTGCAGGCATGTAAATAAATTTCAAATTGAGTACACGCAAAGAACTACAATAACTCTTATTTAATACACAATCGCCAATAAAGGGCACAGTAATGGAGAGTTTCGTAGTCAAAGCGCATATGAAACGCGCCCACATAAAAATGGCTTATCCAAATCGAAAGCAATGTTAGCTCAGTGCTTAGCTTGTTGTTGGCCGCTCGATTCAGAAACATTCGAAATGCAAACGGCAGCCAATGTATTATATGGCTCACTTAATGTTCGTTTGCGAATAACTTCTTATTTATGTAAATATGTCAGAAATTTTTATTTGAATATCTGGCAGCAAAGCTACTTTGATTTGTAGTCCTGCAGTCTTTCTTAAAGCTATTTTAATATGCACAATATAACTAGGTACATGTATAGAGGATTTTTACAATGATTTCGCTTTCTTCTTCGGCAGCTCAAAACTGTCACTGTCATGTGCTGAAGCTAATTTTCATGTCATTAATGTCTTCCTAATCTTTAACAATTTTGCAGGTATTGCGCACCAACAGTCCTACTGGCTTATCTCTACATACGAACTTCACAGGAGTTGCGGCCACCGGATGGACCTTTTGCTGTAATGATGTTTGAGCATCGCGCGGATATGAGACATCGTCAGCGGTAAGATTTTTCTTTTGTAAATTTGTACACTTTTTTATTTGCATACAGTATAAACAGATACTACAGCTGCAATGCTTGTTTTTAAAGACAATCAAAAAGAGAGGACATTTTTACATCGTGCTACAGTCTTATAAGACCTAAGCTAAACCATCCCTCACTTATTATTTTTATCCAAAAGGAGGCCTTTAATACCACCTGCAAGCTTAAAATAAATGTTTGCTGGTATGATATAGTGTGGATAGAGGCCAAAATTGCTGGAGGTAGAGCTTTAGACTAGAATGTCTTTTCAATGCCAGATAATAGTACGCCACCGCTGCACAGTGGTTAAAAATTGGCATTTTGTGCTCAGCACTCACTAGAGCCTTAATTTTTCACTCAATTTGATAATGTTTTTTTTTTAATGAAAGCTTATAGAATTGGAAAGAGACCAGTAGAGCGCAATTCTTGAATTTTTTGTGGGTTTGTATTATTTTTTTTTAGTGCAAAGTGCAGAAAAAGTAGCAATTTTGAAGATACTCGACTCTCGTGTTCCAGTTAATAAATGTTATATAATAAAAACTATTTGAAAACAATTGTAGGTTTCTCTCAAAATGAAAAAAAAATATAAAAAAATTCACCAATATTATTTTGATTGTTTTTGGTTTTTATCAAAGTTTTGTGTATGCAGTTTTATAGATCATTAAATTTTAGTATAACAAAGAGTACATTCCAATCGGCTAAGAGCTTGTGTTGATTTTTAAAAATACATATAACAAACGCCTTTATTTCCCATTTAGCATGCAGATGTGCTCTAAATATTGGCGAAAAAAATTATTAAAAATCAACGCGACCTCTTAGCCACTTGGAAATTGCACTTTCAAACTTAATGGTATATAAAACTGCATATCTAACATTTTTCTAGAAACTGATTTTTTGTTTTTTAACTTTGGTGCAAATTTTTTATAAACCATTTAAATTTTTTGTGTGTATTTTTTTTGGTTTCGGAGGCAACCTACAATTGTTTTCAACTCGTTTTTATTACGCAACATTTATTAACTGGAACAGGAGCATCAATTTTATTCAAAATTGCTACTTTTTCTCCACTTTGCAGTAAAAATTTAATAAAAAAAAAAATTAAAAAATAAAAATCGCGCTCAACTGGTCTCTTGCAAATTTTATTAGCTTTCGGTAAAAAAAAATTAGTCAAATTGAGTGAAAAATTAATGCTCCAGTAAATTGTGAACACTAAATTCCAGTTTTTAACCACTGTGAGCTGTCGTGCTACCTGAGGCTGAGTGCTGGCTTAACCGCAATACTGAACTGGGGCTTACACATTGTAGAATCTGTACTGATGGCTCCAAAATTAATAGGATCTGGAGCCTATCTTAAAAATAATGCGGAGAATCTGCACTTCTATCTTGTGGAATATGCCTAGGTATTTGCAACCTTCCAGGTCATGGACGTATCCTGTCCGTTAAAATGGCAGTACTCTAGTACCGATAGTTTAAGTTGAATTCTGTCTAGAAAATGAACATTAATTCTCTAGAATAAACGCGAATTAAATTTAGCCACAGACAGAACATCATAAACGTATGGATTAATAAGCGATTAATATTTTCCTCTAACTGTCGAACATTGCTTTTATTTTGGCTTGATGGATATTTTCCCATGCGGTTGTGATATCCTCTTTTAGTTCATTTTTGCTGTTAAATTGCCCACCTTCCTTGTAGACTTTTCTGGCCCTAATCGACTTAAAAGTTCTCTATGATATTCATATCCGGCCAAATCACCGGCTAGTTTTTACAAATATTAAGGCCTATCACAAAATCTATCGTAGTCCGATTTTTTCGTGAAATCTGCGAAAATGCTATCATTGAATTCGCATAGCTACGAACGTTCGTATAAATTCGAATTGTACGAAAAATCTGACTACAATGGGATTTGTGATAGACACCATTGATGCGTCGCTGCATAAAAGCGCCCAAGGTAGATCTAGCTACGTGAAAGGGCTGCTAGCCTAATTCAGCGCATTCGTAGCCATAAGCTGGAAAATTGAGCCAAACCAGCTTTGAAACATTAGAGTCTTAAAGTTTCAGAGGTTTTTTTTTTAGTCTCAATACGACCATTTTTTACCGAAATATTTAGATTTATTTTAAGTAGATCTCCGTGGAGTCTCCCGTGGACCATTGAGGGTCCACCCGGCCCACTTTGGGAATCACTGATCTAAATAAAGAAGATATAATGCAAATCCTCGCATCTTAAAAATCATCTGATCTGCTTTCACCGATATCTCAAAATAAGTATCAGATCGTATCAACTAACTACACCATGAACATATTGCTTTCAATGTTTTGCTCATATTCATGGTATTTATGTATATTCATATGAGCAAAACATTAAAAGTAATATGTTCTTGTTTATTAAAAGCGTACTATATCAACTGCATAAAAATCACATACATAGAATGTTCATTCTTCTTCTTCTTCTTATTTGGCGCTGTAACCGCCTAAGCGATTTTGGCCGAGTCCAAAACAGCACGCCAGTCATTTCTCTTCTGTGCTAACTGACGCCAATTGAAAATGCCAAGTGAAGCCAAGTCCTTCTCCACCTGGTCTTTCCAACGCAGAGGAGGCCTTCCTCTTCCTCTGTTCACAGCATCGCGGCCCGCGTTGAATATTTTCAGAGCAGGAGCGTTTCTGTCCATCCGAACGACATGGCCAAGCCAGCGGAGCCGCTGAATTTTAATTCGCTGCACTATGTCTACATCGTTGTAAAGCTCATACAGCTCATCGTTAAATCGTCTGCGATATTCGCCATCACCAACGCGTAAAGGTCCGTAAATCTTTCGCAGAATCTTTCTCTCGAAAACTCCAAGAGCCGCCTCATCAGATGCTTTCATTGTCCATGCTTCCGCGCCATACACCAGCACAGGCACGATGAGTGACTTATAGAGTGTGATCTTTGTACGACGAGAGAGGACTTTACTTCTCAATTGCCTACTCAGCCCAAAGTAGCACTTGTTGGCAAGAGTGATTCTCCGTTGGATTTCAAGGCTGACATTATTATTGGTGTTAATGCTGGTTCCCAAATAAACGAAGTCGTCTACTTTTTCAAACTTGTAACTGTCAACAGTGACGTGGGTGCCAAGACGCGTATGCTCTGACTGTTTGTGTGCTGACAGGAGATACTTCGTTTTGTCCTCGTTCACCACCAGACCCATTCGCTTTGCTTCTCTATCCAATCCCGAGAAGGCAGAACAGACGTAGCCCTTGTTTTTACCGATAATATCGATGTCGTCGGCATACGCCAGCAATTGTACGCTCTTATAAAGTATTGTGCCTGAGCGGTTCAGTTCTGCGGCTCTTATTATCTTCTCCAACATAAGATTAAAGAAATCACACGAAAGGGGGTCCCCTTGTCTGAAACCTCGTTTGGTATCAAACGGCTCGGAGAGGTCCTTCCCTATTCTGACGGAGCTGGTGGTATTGCTCAACGTCATTTTACACAGCCGTATTAGTTTCGCGGGGATACCAAATTCAGACATCGCGGCATAAAGGCAACTTCTCTTCGTGCTGTCGAAAGCGGCTTTGAAATCGACAAATAGATGGTGTGTGTCGATCCTATTCTCGCGGGTCTTTTCCAAGATTTGGCGTATTGTGAATACCTGATCTATGGTGGATTTTCCAGGCCTAAAGCCACACTGATAAGGTCCAATCAGCTCGTTGAGGGTGGGCTTCAGTCTTTCGCACAATACGCTCGATAAGACCTTGTAACCTATGCTTAGAAGGCTAATTCCGCGGTAGTTGGCGCGTATGGCGGGGTCGCCTTTCTTGTGGATTGGGCAGAGCACACTTAAATTCCAGTCGTCGGGCATGCGTTCATCTGACCATATTCTGCATACGAGCTGATGCATGCACCTCATCAGCTCCTCGCCGCCGTACTTGAATAGCTCGGCTGGCAGGCCGTCAGCTCCAGCAGCTTTGTTGTTTTTCAGCCGCGTAATCGCTATTCGTACCTCGTCATAGTCAGGCGGTGGGACAGCTACTCCATCATCATCGACTGGGGACTCGGGTTCGTCTTCCTCACTACTTTCAGCGCTGCTACCATTCAGTAGGTTATAAAAGTGTTCCCTCCACAATTTAAGTATATTCTGGACATCGGTCACTAGGTCGCCATTGTTGTTCTTACAGGAGTTCGCCCCGGTCTTGAAACCTTCCGTAAGTCGCCTAACCCTCTGGTAGAATTTTCGGGCGTTCTTCCTGTCGGCCAGCATCTCAAGCTCTTCGCACTCACGTATTTCGGCCTCTCTCTTCTTATTGCGGCAAATACGTCTCGCTTCCTTCTTCAGTTCCCTATAACGGTCCCACATGGCTCGCGTTGCGCCCGATCGCAGCGTGGCCCTGTAGGCGGCATCTTTTTTCTCTGCGGCTTCTTGACATTCCTCATCGTACCAGTTGTTCTTTCGGGCTCGCTGAAATCCAACTACTTCTTCGGCGGCGGTACTTAATGATCGGGAAATGTGGTTCCACTGCTCGCGTACGTCGGATTGTTGAAGAGTGCTCTCAGAGAGCAGGTGTGTGAGTCGAGTGGCGAATAGATTGGCCGTCTGTTGTGATTGCAGCTTTTCGACGTTAAGCTTTCCTTGCATTGTTGGGCACACATTTTTTGCTGCACAGAGGCGGGTGCGTATCTTGGCTACAACAAGATAGTGGTCCGAGTCGATGTTTGGCCCTCGGAGTGTACGTACGTCCAAAACGCTTGAAGCATGCCTTCCGTCTATCACAACATGATCGATTTGGTTTCTCGTTTTTCGATCTGGAGACAGCCATGTAGCTTGGTGGATGTTCTTATGCTGGAACCTAGTACTACATATTACCATATTTCGGGCCCCGGCGAAGTCGATCAGCCTCAGTCCGTTATCGGACGTTTCGTCGTGGAGGCTGAATTTTCCGACAGTGGCGCCAAAGATCCCTTCCTTGCCCACCTTGGCATTAAAATCGCCAAGCACGATTTTGACATCG